GATATTTTTTCCCCGATAACAGAACATTGAGGTTACCCATGTAAAAGAAAATTATTTGTTACAAATGGTGGAGTATAATAAATATTATCTCATCATATTGTATAAAATATCAAATATAACCAACAGACATTATATATTGTACTTCCGTCACTTGGTTAAATAAAAACTAATTTCTGGGGTTTCAATAATCAGATAGTCCAATCACAATAGCTTCCTATGGCTAAATTCAGATGGCTACGAAAGGACTTAAGACACTGTGGCTATGGCTTATGACAGTGGCTCATTGGCTTATAGAACATGGACCAGTTATCGATTTGTTGTTCAGGAACTTGGATAATATGACACTAAGTTCCATCCTATTCAACCATGATCGAAAAATGCATCCAGGTTCTAATCTTATTTTGAGTCTTGAGAAGAAACCCCTAAAACAGATTGTATGACGCTCCTACATGATTGGTATTCAGGCGAGGCGAAGATCATCACCGCTGAAACTACTCGTGGTGTCAAGGGAAAGTAGTGAGGGGAAGTGTGTAAGGAAGGAGTGGGATGAGGAGTAGGAGAGAGTTTTGGAAGAAATTGAAGAATATTTGAAGGAGGGAGGAAGTAAAATGAAAGGAGAGAGAAAGATAAATCGATAAATGAATGTTCCTCGATAACTAAAAAAAAACAAAACGTAGAAAAAAAGAAGAGAAAAAGGACATCTATAATACACATGACTAACCTCCAAAATACTCTCCTTAGCCTGCAAGTGGCGGGGGAGGAGGGAGGGAGGGAGGGAGGGAGGGAGGAGGGAGGGAGGAGGGAGGGAGGGAGAGGGAGAGAGGAACGGAGAGGGAGAGAGGAAGAGCGAGGAAGGGAATGAGTTCGCTGAATATGACCAAAAATAATTTAAACCACGGACAGAACTTTGTCAGAAAATTCATTGTTGTTGTCCTGGCAGCATTCATATCATCAATAAAAAATTAATGTAACAAGATATGGAACTATACCAGGTAAGTGTTTCTTTGTGAGTAAAGATTGATTAGTGATTGTTTTTTTTTAAATTCATGTTATTTTATATAGAGTCAATTAATTGGACAATTATAATAGAAATTGGTAATGATTGGTATGTTTGTTAACCCAATTAACTTAATCTAATCTAACATTAATTCACTTAAATATGTATAGTTCGGTTATGATATTATCGTAAATGACGTCTTTGGAGAATGAAAGCAAATCTGATTATACAATGTACACTACAAACTAATTTGTTCGTTTGGCGGAAACATAGTTTGCGTTTAAGACTAAGGCTGAGGACTGTCCCTAATAAGCGAAACAAATTATATTTATATATAAAATTAAAGACCTACTGTTGCCGCTGAAGTATGGAAGTTTTGTCTGTTATATCAGGAACACTCCGTTAATACACCAACAACTCGATCACTGGAACGAGTACAAGTCTCCTCTCACTGTTGCACCAGACTAGCGTGTGTGTGAATAACGTTCTTCCGTGTGTAACAGTCACAGTCATGAATAGTATGGACAAATTCTTGAAGAATTTTTTTTTTTTTTGCATAATACAAAATTAATGAGTTAGGAAATTATATTATGGATTAGGAAGAGTCAGATAAAAAGAAGAATGATGTTAACTCATTTCTAAATTTCCGGAGAAGCAGAAAAACTTATCAAGAGATGTAAAGTGAGAAGTCTGTAAGTAGTAAAAACTTTAACTTGAACAGAGCACTTAAGAATTCATCCTTGGAACCACCACCACCACCACCACAGGCGACCGTCGCTGAGCTAAGAAATGGCTTGGATTTTCCACGTGAGTCAGCATCCAGAACTTATTATGACCACACAAACACAGCACTGGTTCTCGCTGTGTATGGTTTCTCCTTTCCTTGTTTCTCTTAATATAGATCACAGTGGAGGAACACCAGCAGCACCTTAACACACCAAAAGACTGTTTACTACAACTGGCGTCGACTCTTCTCCCTTTTTGTTGGGTCCTGTACACTCGTCACCAAACGTTCTGGACCAGCTGGGCCCCGACAAATTTCCGAATGAACACTATGGCTCGTGTCATCTCAGAAGGGTTAGTATGCCTGGTTGCGAATTGACTTTCAATATGTTCGTGTTTATAGTATTTACAGGTGGAAAAAAGTTATTTATTTTGCAATAAAACTCCACCAGTGAGCAATGTTCAGAATTATTGCTCGTTTTGCCATATTGTAAGACACTTAGAGCATTTAAGAAATTTTTGTGGCAAGTGTACAGTTTGGTCACCAGTGACGTCAGTGTTGTGTACATGTTTAGTCACTGGTGACGTCAGTGTTGTGTACATGTTTAGTCACTAGTGACGTCAATGTTACAGTACATTTTTGTCACTTGTGACGTCAGTGCCGTAGTGAGGGGAAATTGGCTGGGTACGAGTTATGTTATATCCACAGTATCGAGCAATTAGAGGGAATGTTGCGCGTCGCAGTTGTAATACACATTTATGAAGAATAATTAATGCAATTGCTAGTGAAATGGGTTCCCCAGAACACTTGCATTTCACGTGCCTTGTCCGTCGTTGCAGTAATACTGTGAGTTAATGTGAGCAGTTCGACTGACAATAGTATCTTCGTAAACTGGAAATGACTCGATGACAAGAACAATTACTGCTATTGTCAAGTGATTTTCCCATTTTGGTAAATCCTGTAATTCCAATATCTCATTCTTTAATAATAATAAATTATACGACATTATCAGCTAAAAATGTTAGTTATAACATCAGTGGAATGAATTACCATACCTTTACCACGTTGTTAGGGGGCAGTCCTCCACCAACTATCTTAAACACTGCCTAGCTATGTAAGTGTCCCTCATCCTTCAGTCCATAACCAGACCCCATATTTCCTCTTTATACAGGCTCTATAGCATTGAGACTCCATAACTCTTCTGCAACTTATCATCTAACTCTTCACTCTCACTATAAGTTATTATCACTCAGCCACTCTACAATCATTCCATTATTCATCTCATCTTCTCCCATCAACTCTACAACCAAGTCAATTGTCGTTAGTCACCATTGACGAGTTACAGAAGGCGTGAGTGAGGAAGGGCGTGCCTCAACAAAGACAAGTGTGGACGTGCGGGAAACTTTGGTGTCCTGAGTGAATTCGCAAGACGTTGTTATTTATTGTTAGAGAAATGTCTATTGAATATATGAGAAATTATGTAAGTAAATTAAGTAGATAAATTATACACATGTTGTTTTAAAGCTCCAGTGTAAAAGAATTGGATAATGTAGAGGCGTACGGAAGCTCAACCTTGAGTTCATGGCTACCAGACATATTTCTCAGCAGCCTCCTTCCTGGACCAGCTTCATATTTATACTACATTGACACGAGAATAAAGTAATGCAAACAAAACAGTATAAAGAGAAAGCTAATCTAATTACTATCAATAAGGCAGGTACGTATCAAGAGCACTGGTGAGGGTTACTACCTACTAATGGAATCTTACATCCCAGACAAATCCTATTACACTTCCGCCTTATGGCACATTACCTGAAGCAAGAATCTAGTTATATGTGTTAAAAAGTTCCTGGAAGCTTAATAGGACACAGCACTAGACAATTGGGTGAGGCCATTTGAAGGAAATTTGTATCGCGCAGATTACCTTTAACTTGTACGAAATTATTAAAAACTGGCTGCTAATTGTTATGTTGTATTTTATGTTGTCATTACCTGAGAACATTAAGAAAGGCAATAAATATTGACTGGATTCCTTTTACATGAGATAATTTCATACCCATCCAAGTCTCAGCTGTTGTGTTTGCGTTTTAATTTGAGAGCTAAGGGTGAACTACGGTCATCAGTACAGCTTGTAAGTCTTTTAATTATCCTCTTTAGGTTTTTATGTTATGTTTATCTTTCTTTTGTTAACTGTTTGTTGTCACGCTGTTTCAAGGTCGCATTTTATTCGATTTCTGTCTTTGTCGTATTTTTCGTCTTGTTTACTATAACTGGATCAGACTTATGGCCCTTTGTATTCCATATGGTTCTTCTCTATGTCCAGTTTATATTATGTGTGTTATTTTCTTAGCACTCGAGGTCAGGATGTTACTACGATGTTTTTTCCTTGTCTTGCTTTTTGTCGTATTTAAAACATGATCTGTGTCAAGTAACACCTGCCCAATAGTGTCTTGGATGTGACCCATTAATTTATCTTGTTAGTGTTTGTGTTGTGTTCTTGTCTTGGTTGACCTACGAGTGTTTCTTTGTTGTATTTTTGTGTGTCCTACTCATGCTATCCTTGTACCACTGTGCGATCGTTACCACCAACAAAGAAGTTTTACTCTTTTCAAAACGAAATAAAATATTAGTGCACTCTCTTCCCGGCGCTGGTAAACTCTCAATACATTTTCTCCTGTCCACAAAGCGTACATCATAAGGTATATGTCCGTGTATGCCCATGAGGTTATCCAAATAAATCAAGAAAGAAAACTTCAATTAATGTCTCAAGTAGCCACCTGACTCCGTTAACCCTCAACACTGGACAGTCAGAGTAGACTACAGGGAACACAAGGTACTGACTGAATGATGGGTATCTGAGGGACGCGAGGGAGGCTGTAAGGAGGGGAGAGAAAGTGAGAGGAGAGGTGAGAATTATTACATTCCATGCTAACGTTCCAAAGACGGTCGGCTGCCCCTGCCAAACTACCACTTAGCCACTAAGAGGCTTGCGGGAGAAATCCATTTCGTAGGGTAGTCGGGCTGGAATTGTGATACACAACTCCCCTACTCTACCCCAACTAAGAAAAAAAAAAGAAATCTATTCACACTTTCTTTTTTTTTACTTGCATTATTTCGTGAACAGCCAGTGATATTTATGAGAGGCAATACGCTTGAAAGAGGGGAAAAATAATCGTTGACATTGCCCTTAAGCGTGAGAAGAGTGAGAAGGAAAGCGGTATCTGGCAACTCCAGCTCTTCGGAGTCGAGGAACTTGGTGTGACGGCAGTATCGGTGCGAGCGTGTGGACGGTAACGTGTGTTCCGCCTCTATCCCAAATCTTCGCTACACACGCTACAGCTACCCACAAAATAGGTCAATCAATAAAATAACGTCAGCTTCAAATTTCTATGTTTATTTTAAAACAAAGTGAAGTATAAACGTGTCCAAAACTAATTAGAAGTACATATATACAGTATATATCGCAAAAGCAGAATTTACAACTAAAGTTTTCAACTTTTGTCAAATATTTTAGAAATTTTCCATGTGTGCAAATCATCCCTGATATAAATAAAGCTACTACGATATATAGCTTTAATAACACTTCAAATTACAACATACTAACTCTTCGGTAATAGTTTTGAAACTTTAAATGCATTCTCAAGACAACAACCTAACATAACCCAAATTGAAACATCAAATATACTAAAAAGACGAATAGGAATAACCCAAACTTAATAGAATACTGATAATAGAGAGAAAATGTGGTGCCCTTCATCACTTTTCACCCTAGTTACAAGTGACGTACATGTGATCAGGTGAACAAGTGGCGTGATAGTGTTGGAACATGTGGAGGGTGTGAGGGAGGAGAACGAGTGAACCAACGGGAAGCGGCATCATGGGAGGACAAGCAGCCAGACAGCTCCTTACACTACTGTTGCTGATGCTCTGGACGCCCCACACTCACCTCATAACTAGTAGGTCTTCCTCACCTCATAACTAGTAGGTCTTCCTCACCTCATAACTAGTAGGTCTCCCTCACCTCTTAACTAGTAGGTCTTCCTCACCTCATAACTAGTAGGTCTTCCTCACCTCATAACTAGTAGGTCTTCCTCACCTCTTAACTAGTAGGTCTTCCTCACCTCATAACTAGTAGGTCTCCCTCACCTCATAACTAGTAGGTCTTCCTCACCTCATAACTAGTAGGTCTTCCTCACCTCATAACTAGTAGGTAGGTCTCCTCACCTCTTAACTAGTAGGTCTTCCCTCACCTCATAACTAGTAGGTCTTCCTCACCTCATAACTAGTAGGTCTCACCTCATAACTAGTAGGTCTCCCTCATCTCACATAACTAGTAGGTCTCCCCACCTCATAACTAGTAGGTCTTCCTCACCTCATAACTAGTAGGTCTCCCTCACCTCTTGACTAGTAGGTCTCCCTCACCTCTTAACTAGTAGGTCTTCCTCACCTCATAAGTAGTAGGTCTTCCTCACCTCTTAACTAGTAGGTCTTCCTCACCTCATAACTAGTAGGTCTTCCTCACCTCATAACTAGTAGGTCTCCCGCACCTCATAACTAGTAGGTCTCCCTCACCTCACAACTAGTAGGTCTCCCTCACCTCATAACTAGTAGGTCTCCCTCACCTCACAACTAGTAGGTCTCCCTCACCTCACAACTAGTAGGTCTCCCTCACACCTCATAACTAGTAGGTCTCCCTCACCTCTTGACTAGTAGGTCTCCCTCATCTCATAACTAGTAGGTCTCCCTCACCTCATAGCTAGTAGGTCTTCCTCATCTCATAACTAGTAGGTCTCCCTCACCTCATAAATAGTAGGTCTCCCTCATCTCATAACTAGTAGGTCTCCCACACCTCATAACTAGTCGGTCTCCCTCACCTCATAAATAGTAGGTCTCCCTCATCTCATAACTAGTAGGTCTCCCTCACCTCACAACTAGTAGGTCTCCCGCACCTCTTAACTAGTAGGTCTCCCTCACCTCATAACTAGTAATTATCCCTACTACTACTACTACCAGTAATAATAATAATAATAATAATAATAATAATAATAATAATAATAATAATAATAATAAATAAATAGATGAAATAATCTTAAGTACAGTACATTTCAATGCTCTTTATGAATAACAAAAGATGAACTCTCGTACCGATAAGCACATAATCTGGTATGAACACTGCAAATGACGTGTTATGTTTTTTTCCTTCAGTTTCAAGTATAGTAAAATCTGCGCCTGTCAATAGTTCACGTTTTTTTTTATGAAAAGGAACATCCTGCTCGCCCCATCCCACACTCCAGCACTAAAACAGTTCAGCAGGTTTCTATATTTGGTTGATATGAAACTGATGAGACGCAAAGAAAATCATCTTTTTATAACTTCTCACAGACTTATCGCCAAAAATGGATTACTTTACACAGATCTGTCTCCCTGGCATGAGGTTTAATGAGAGTTCCGAAAATTTTTCTTTGCAATAAATGCTGACAACTATTGCATTCGTGATTCTGTGAATGATGCAGAACTTGATGCTGTGTATCCGGGTTTTCGGAATGTGAAATACTTGCTCAAAGGTATCCGTCTATTCTCACGGATTTATGTATTTTTCAATAACTGGAATTATAAGCCAAAGTCGCTGCTGATCCGGTGCCCAGCGTCGCCAGATCAAATGATGCTTTGTTAGGCGACGGTTAACAAAGTTAGCGAGAATACGTGGCGAGCTGACAATAGTTCTCACACCAATAGAGACTTTAGTGACATGAACGCTCATTATCTTTTTTATTTGCACTATTAAATAATGCCTTCCTCTATTTCTATTCTAATAAAAATATTTTTCATCAGCAAAATTAAGTATCATGATGCTGAAGCTGTTCTCGTGACAGTTGAAATAGTTGAGCCACGCTGGCCCACGAACTGCACTAAAAAAAACAAGTATATTTTGATTAGCTTAGAATAGCGCAATTACCTTATGTGAAGGTCATACAGTACAGCATTTCTGTTATTATTCATAGCGATAAACCAAGAGGACTCCCACTTTAAGCCAACTTTAAGCCAACTTGTGAACTAATATTATTCCAAAACGCGTGACATCACCCCCAAAGACGACAAACACTGGGACGACTCTTAAACCAGCCAACCCGTGTTCTGCTACCTGGACATTATTTCCTAAACATTATTAATTAAATATTACTTAAATGATTGTGTTTATCATAATGTTTTACAGGGGAGGTTCACAAGTGTCATACTCAGTGCGGTAAAGTGAAGCGATGGCCTGAGCCTGAACCGACCCGCTTGACTTGATTACGACCTCAGCTAACCCGGTATTGTTATGGTCTTCACTTCTGGGTCATAGAGTAATATATATCCTGTATATCTGAGTGTATGTGATGAAATAGATTCACTCTTATACTTATCGTCCCACTGTTGTGACACATTAACTCACAACAGTTATTGACGGAGAGAAGTACTGTATGTATCTTTATGATGGTCTGTCGGACATCATTTTCGTTAACTAAAGAAATCAAAGTTAAAAATACAGTATAGACTATTGATCTGGTTACAGGAACATAAGTATGGTCTAATTTTCAATATTAGAAATGATCGCAAGAAATTTGGAGTAGATTATTTTTTTTCTCCATTAACAGTCCCATTGCCGTTTTCTCCAGTTATTTTCAGTTATAGGAGATTTAATGTTAAATGACATAGTTCAATCTGTTCTCTCACCATTTGCTCATCAACATTACAGCTCAGAGCGTAACAGGTTTCTAGAGAACAGACAGTGATAACCTAGGTTCTAAAGTAAAGGGTTTAATAATATGCACAATTTACCGAGAACTGGCAGGAATTTGGGTGTGCGAATCGTCATAGCCAACACACTGTATACGTTAAATAATTTATCATAGATGGTGAAGTATAGACGCGTCCTCCTGTAGAAAACTTTATGATCAATCTATGGGAATATTTTTTTTTCATCTGGGATAGTCAACATTACAATTAGTGTAAAACAAATTTTCAAAATAAATATGACTTCGAAACGTAATCTTACACACATGTAAAAATAAACTTGCACGAGATTATTTTGTTTGTTTGCCTGATTAATTCGCGCTGTGTTTTAGTTGTAAAAAGCGATTGTAACATAAGAACTACAACATAAAAGTTATCCAGCGTTAAAACTTTTTATCCCCCCCCAAAAAGATATATTTATATTTTTCGTACTGCACTTTTGGCCGATTTCAACTCCATGTTTATGACATAAGCTTAGAAAATGCCACAATACAGGCAAGCAATATTCTAATTAAGAAAACTAATAAAACTGTAAAATAATAAATATTTAATACCTCATAAAATCTTACGATAGTTCCGCATATCAGACTATCTTGCAGCTACAACGGTTTTATTTACTTTAACATACATATATCTATTATTTCTGTCTCATTTCAGCTACATATATACATATATGCCGCTACCTTGTACACATAAGCTCACGGTGAGCCTTTATAAAAATAGTGGCTATCAATGGCACAGTTACATTTATCACGACTGTCGGGGTGAAAAAAACTGCCTTTTAGATGAAACGTCAAAGTTGTTGTTTTTCTCTTTTTTAACTGGGTATTTAAACACACCCACGATGCAGACAATAGTGGATGATGGAGGTACAAGGAACAGACGATAATAGATGATGGAGGTACAAGGAACACAATAACGGATGAGGGAGGCACAAGGAACAGACAATAATGGAAGATGAGGTACAAGGAACAGACAATAATGGATGATGGAGGTACAAGGAACAGACAATAATGGATGATGGTGGTACAAGGAACAGACAATAATGGATGATGGAGGTACAAGGAACAGACAATAATGGATGATGGTGGTACAAGGAACAGATACTAGTCACCAACAATTCGAAAACTACGAGATGTACTGTACAAGCGTGAGGCGTTGTGTGTGGTCGACTGCAGATGAGTTTTCTTAACAAGGTCGACTGTTGACTCATAAGCTGGTGGAAGGAAGATGTTGATCTGAGGAGAAACCTTCTTGTTAGTGACTCATGTAAGCCACAGGTTGTCAAGAAGTAATGGTATCTTCCCTTATACAAAGAAGACAGTAAATAAGATTCCATATTCCTCCAACCCAGTTTAAGATCAACCTTGAGATCTGCTGAGACGATAAGATACAGCATCACACATACATGGCGCATGGACTGCCAGCAAATATAAGCGCTTGTTGTCTAATTTCAAGGCTGTTGCATATTTGTCAGTTATTTATCCATTATATCCCTTCACGAAAACCTGTGTAGACAATGTGTGATGTCAGAAAAATAATATCAGGAGGATAATACAAATTTGTTCCTGACGCAAAAGATATTTAGAAGGACGAAAATGTTTGTGCTGTCAGCGTCTCATAGAAGCTTCAGAATATAGCTAATATTGTTTATGTCTGCCTCTAAATGGCCACACACACAGTCATCTTCGATAAGCTGGAGTAGAACATTATCGTGGTCACTGTTATACATATTCTGGATCATAACTTCTTTAACAGGTCAATTGGTGCCTCTTTGCTATTCAGTCATGGTAGGTATACGGTATGTGAGCCTTCAGATAAACTCACAAAATTGTCAGCAAAATACTAAAGATTATATCTCTGCGCCACAGTCTATGACAGTTTCATTTTTACCAGTCAACTCTTCATCTGCCGGGAGATAAGGCACTGCTGATAAGGCTGTTAACTTATGAATATGGGAAAAACATTATTGTTAAAATAAATATTAGATTTAGAACAATGAAAATAAATAAAAATATTGCACTTTACACACCACGACAACTAGAACGGAGTCCAGTAAATGAGGTCACGTTTTATCTTCAGTTACCCATAATATAAAATCCATAACTTAAACGTATAAATAAGAGATATTTGTCCATTTCTCCTGACTGAGAAAATAATAATTATTTAACGAGAAAAAGAC